ACAATACCGCTCATACCACTTTCTTTCATTCGGTAGTAATCGGATTACTACCGATTACGCACGAGATTTACATAAACGTAGCAATATATTCGGCGATCCCCGACTCATATCAAAATTCGTTACAAGGTTATTCCAAGAACTCCCTGAAATTGGATAGGGAAATCGGATGAAGCAACTTGAAAAAATGTTTGAATTCCATAGATATTTATTTTAGCTTTACCCACCGTTTTAGTCATATTAGAGTTAATCCCGACTAAATTGCATATTTTTGTTTTATTAACAATTATGTTCTCATTTAAAGCGTTAATTTTAATCAAATTTACTGATGCACCTGTATCTACTAAAAATTTTGTTTTTTCTTTGAGAAAGGAAGGGTTCTCAAGATCTATTGATGGGACTTCTCCTCTTCGTTCGTTCCCTCCAATTTGGAGGATAACTCTTTTTTGAGAGATTTTTCTGAACTCTTGGCCAGCAACTCCCTCACTTGCTGGTCCCAATTTGAGTTTTTTGCCAATTCTTTTATATTTTCATTTTTTATTTCCCCAACAGTTCTGTGAGATTCCCTTTCTTTCTCATGTCTATTTTTTAAAAAACATCTTTCAAATGTATGATTAGGCCTGTGGCAATAAGTACATTCTAATTTTTTATTTTGTTTAGGTCTATTCCTACATTCATTTTTCATATGTCCCGTTTTATTACAATTAAAACATTTAATATTTCTTTTGTCTTGTTTGTTAAATTTACCCTGCTTTGAACCAGAAGCTCCTTGAGCTTCAAAATGAGCGATCCTTTTTTGAGGGAAATTTTTATTTTTATTTAATTTATTTGGATTTTCCTCATTAATTAAGGATTGCTCATTACCATGAAATCTTCTCCAACTTGCAAACTCTAAATCAATTTGAGTGGCTAATTTAATTACTTCATCCAAGGTGAACTCAGGCTTCATTGGCATTTTAATAAAAGTATTTAAATCTAATCTTTTAATAAAATTATACTTTGCAATATCTTTATTGGTTTGGCAGCTTCCACCTCCAATATCATTTGGATGTTTTTCTAATGTTTTTTTATTTAACGTATTTAATATTTGTTTAACTCGAGCCCCATAGTCAGAAACAAGTTCATTCTCTTTTCTTTGTACATTTGCAAGTTCATTTGATAAACTAGCTATATCTTCTTGTTTGGAATAAACTTGTTCTAATGTATTAAGTATTTCTTCTAAAGTTAAACCTAATCGATCTTGTATATAATTTCGCGCTTCCCCAATTATTTTTGTTCTTACAACCATCGTGAAGCAATGCAAGTCATCAGGAGTTATCATAGCAACAGCAGACTTGCAATGCTCCACGAACATTGTTACAGGAATATTTTTTCCATCGAATACGGGTAAAATTTGTTCAACAATTTTAGGAATTTTACTTGCATTCTGAGTTCCAATCAACCTTTGAATATAATCTGATTGTGAAACAGGAAATGTGCCAATACCATCGACAACTGAGCATGCTCCGGCACCTTGTGATATCATTTCCAAATTTAATGGGCCTTCAGAACCGGAAATAACATTAAGTCTAGAAGGTCCTGAATTATTTTCTCTCATTAAATTGATATTTGAACCGGTACCAGAACAATCCTGAGTTGCCGCTACATTATTATTATCATTATTATTATAAGAATTTAAACTTGTGTGTGTGTGTGTCTTTAGAACTCTTTATTGCTTCGACGGTCCAAACAGAAACCCGATGATTTGGTCGGACGACTTTTCTGATTCGACCCATTTTTATAAGTTATTCTAATAAAAAAAAACTATTTCTTTAAAAAAATTTTAAAAACGTTGTGACTTACAGATTTGAAGATTATTTCTCTCCACCATCACTTAAAAAATAAAAAAAAATTTATTGTCAATTAAACTTCTGCTTGACTTCCTCTTCTTTTCCTTTTTCAGACCATTCAAAAGATCCTTGATTCGGAAAAAGATCATAAGCGTAGGAAAGTAGACGGACCTTAATGACGAAATCCGAAGAATTGTTGTCTGTCAAATGAATGTTGATAGGTTGTTGATTATGAAATTTTTATGATTGTGTTTTTAATTTTTATTTCCTTTTTATTATTATTTTTTTTGTTTGGCATCCCACCGCTGTCACCAAAATTTTGTATATGTCACGTCTCAGATTGCACATAACTATATAACTATATTTCCGTTGTATCCATGATGCTCGACTAATAAGCTGGATCCTTATACCAATTTCTCCGTTTGAAAACGGTACCAAATTTAATTTGAATCCAAATTATTTTTTGGTTTTTTCGTTATTGATAATTAAAATTAAGAGGAAAATTACAAATAAACACAAATTTGATTGGAAAACCCTTTCTGGGAAAAAACAAATTTTATTCAAATATTTCAAATTTGATTAATCAAATATCTGTATAAATCATAATCATTGATTTATAAAATAACATTACAAGTTTGGTTGATTTTCAAACAATTTATGAATATAGTTATAAATTGTAATTTTACAACTGATAATTGCAGTTCAAAAATAAGTTCATATCTGAATAACTCACAATTACAATTTTTAATAAAGTTCATATTTCGATGACTCACGATTACAATTTTAAGTAAAATTCATATTTCGATGACTCACGATTACAATTGTAAATAAATTCATATTTCGATGACTCACAATTACAATTTTAAGTAAAGTTCATATTTCGATGACTCACAATTACAATTGTAAATAAATTCATATTTCGATGACTCACAATTACAATTTTAAGTAAAGTTCATATTTTGTGAATTTATAATTATTCACTCAAATATTTAACAATGTAATTGCTAACAATGATTAATTGTCACAAACAAAAAAGGTTATTTAACTTTGAATAGTTAAAAGTCTCCAAAAATTCTGAAGTTCTGGGCTCAAAAGTTGACTTTATATACCCAGTTAAGAAAATAGAAAGGTTACCTCCCCTTTTCCGCTCGAACAATCAGGCTACTGATGACGCATCGTCAGCCAATGAACAATGATTCTTTAAACGTGCCAGTACAAGTTCGACACACACACACACAAAAATGTATTTTACAGTAAAAGAAAATCAATATTAAACATTTTCATATACTATTACAAATGTATATAAATGTTAACTCATACACATGTAAATAACAAAAAAAAAATCAATACTTTAATTATGATTCACTATACACATATACATATATACATATATACATACATACACACACACATATATACATTTTTTAACTTAAAGTTTTTTTTCTATGAATTATTTCAATATTAAAATAAAATTAATTCCATAATTTATGATTAATTAAATTACCACTTTTTAAACAATTACCCACATATCAACCATTCAAAGAAAGAATAGAAATTTCAAATTATATAGAAAGTGAAAAGTCTCAGTTTATTTTATTTCATATTAAAATATGAAATTCCCTAAAAGAATCACTAGGGGTAGACGCAAGCCGTCACAAAGTGCGTTTATTTTACTTCCAAAAGTGAGGTTAGCCAAAATCGTGTTCGAAATAATACACATGTGTAAGAGTGAGATCGTGAGTCTTTTTCTATCACACACTTTACATGCGCCGCGTGTCCTATAGAGAAACAACAAGTAAGCCAGAGATAATTTTTAAAAAATTTTAAATCCCTGTAAAATATCAACATGATATCACGGTGATATCACCTTGATGTCACCATGAAATCACCTCGATGTCACCGTGTGATATCACTGTAAAGCGGGCATTTTGACATTTTCCTGATAAAACGGTGACATTCCCCGGTGATATCACCGTGACATCTGGTTGATATATCGTGCTACTTGGGAAAAGAGTATTTTCCCTAGAACACCGCAGATGCAAACATTAGATTTTACAAATTTTCTATCACTTCTTATTGTTATTAATATACGCAACATTAGTTACTGCTATTGGAATTTGTATTTGTATCGTGTAAGAAAATAAATGATAACAAGTTGGCTAAAATTAGTTAAAAGTTTTGTAGATGTAGTTGATTTATTTTTAATCTATTTAAACAAGGAGGGGGTCCTTTATGTTTATTTCATAAACATTATGCTTCCTCATTGTGTGAAGCAAAAAATTCGCTTCCTCGTGAAGGAAGCAATGAATTTGTCCAATTCAATTGATTGATTTAAAAAATTTCGAGTTAAAAATGTTTTAAATTAATTAAATTTTTTGAAAAATAAAGAAAATTTTAATTAATTTTGAGTGAACATAAACTTTATATATACGAATCGATTCGTTTTAATGCAAGGAATACAATTATTTTATTCATCAACTTGAATTTAAAAAAAACACAAAATTTTTTAGCTAAAATATGAATTTTCGATTTTTCAATTTTTATTAATTCTCAAATTTTAAATCAAATCTATACTTTATATATACCAACCAATTCGTTTCAATGCAGGGTATAAAATTATTTCATATATAAACATGAATTTAAATAAACACATCATTTTTTAGCTAAAATGAGAATTTTTGATTTTTTAACTTTCTTTAATTCTTTAAATTTCAATCAAATCTATACTTTATATATATCAATCGATTCATCTTGACATAAAGAAGACGATTATATTATATATTACCTTAAATTTTTCGATTTAAAAAATTTTTCAATTAAAAAAAAATTTTTGGAAAAAAGACGATAAAATTTTTTTTTTTTGGGTATTTTTAAAAATCCTTTCGTCATTGTTAAATCTAATCGTTGAGGAGAAAGTAATTATACACAACATTTAAACATAAAAACACAGATTGAATAATTTTATTAAAATGATATTATAAAAGGTACACTAATTCGAGACGTTTTTCATCGAAAACACTCGCCAACTAAAAACTGTATTCCTCCGCCAGTCCCCCCAAGACCCCAGCTCTGCCGAGCCCTCTCGCGGTACAAATCTGACATATTTCAAATATAAAATTTACACTCGCATTCCAAACATCCTCCCACCAATGAGTCAGTATGACTCAATCATTCTCAATTTTTGAAAAAGTTTGGTTTCTTAACAACTCGACCACTACGAGTTTTGCATTCTGTTTCCTTCGATGTCACAGATTTATAATCTTCCGCGGTTACAATAGACTCACTCGCAGGTTTGTCAGAAATTTTATTTCGCATAGTCGCAATTTCGTCTTCACAAGAATAATTTAATTCCAATGGATAGACACGTTGTATTGGGCGCTTCAAAAATCCATTTTTCGTTTTTAAATAGACAACGCGTTGCGTACCATCTTTACCCTTGATCAATTTTTCAACACGAGCCAGAGGCCAATCATTACGCTTGTGAGTATCGTCTCCTACGAGTACAACATCGCCGATTTTTAATTTTCGAATCTCTTTGGAATTAAACCTTGATATTAGTTGACTTAAGTATTCTTTTCGGAATCTATTTCGTAAATGTTCCATAATTTCCTGCTTACGTTTAAATCTAGAGTTAAAATCGAGTTTGTCAATTATATCGAGATCGGGCATTTCGCTTTGTCTGAGATCATGCAAAAACATCGCAGGAGTTAGAGGCTTAAGATCATACGGTTCCTCAGACACGTAAGTCAAAGGTCTAGAATTTAAAGTTAATTCGCAGTCACATAGTACGGTGTACAATTCTTCGTAGGTGAGACACGCTTTTCCTAAGACTTTTCGAAGAATAATTTTCATCATTCCGATTAAACGCTCCCACCAACCTCCCCACCATGAGGCAGTTGGCGGATTGAATCGCCAATCAATTTGTCGAGCCTGACTGTAAGTAGCGATGACGTCCCAATTCAAATTTTCAAAAGCATTCTCGGCGCCGACAAAATTTGTACCGTTGTCGCTGTAAACAATAGCAGGTCTACCTCGACGTCCGATAAATCTACGAAGACTTCCTAAAAAATCATTAGTCGATAAAGATGTCACCAGTTCAAGGTGAACTGCTCGATAAATGGCACATGTATAGAGACAAATCCACGCCTTCTTTTGGCCGCGTAAAAAAACTGGGCCCGCAAAATCAACACCAATTACTTCAAATACTGCCGCATCCTTGACACGATGTATAGGTAAAGGCGGTGGATGTACCTCTATAGGTTTCGAATTATATTTATTACAGGTAACGCATTTCTTTATGATAGAACGTATCGCTTTACGCGAAGAAAAAATCCAAAATTTTTCACGGAGTTGACACATGACCGATTGAACTCCCGCGTGACCCATGATTTCGTGAGTCTCTCGGATGAGTAATTTGACCACTTGATTATTTGAATCAAGTACGATTGGACATAAAAAACTGAAACTATCGTCACGTTCTACAATTTTTGTTTTGAGACGAATTAGACCATCAGAGTGCACAAAAGTTGGTAAGGTCGACAATTTCTCTTTATTTTCGTGACAAAACATATCGTTCTGTAAGACTTTCAAAAATTGCTTTTCTGTTTTATAAATCTCGTTAAACGTCAACTTTTTTCCGTTTGTGAGCTCGCCGTTAATTTTATAATTTTTAAACTTTAACATTATCGCGAAAAATCGAATCATTTTATTATAGGATGAAAATTTATCAACAATGCTAAAATTTATTTGATCATCTGCATTTAGTAATGCAATTTGAGCAGACTTCCGCACCTCAACACGAACCTCATCCTCATTCACTTCTTCTCTCAAACAAGGCCAGTCGATTTCCTCGCGACGTAACCAATCAGGCCCCTCCCACCAACGCGAGTCTAACAGCTGTTTTGCCTGACACCCGCGTGACGGTAAATCGGCAGGATTTAGCTCACCCGGCATGTATTTCCAAGTGGCTGATGAAGTAATGAGTCTGATTTCCTTTACTCTATTCCATACGAATACGGCCCATTGGATATCTCTCTTCACCCAAGCCAAAACGGTGGTCGAATCTGACCAAAAAAAAATGGGGACATGAGAATAATCCAAAGCATCTACTATCTCTTTAGTTTGACGAGCACCTATAGACGCGGCCAATAATTCCAATCGCGGAATTGACATGCCATCCGGGGCAACTCGACTTTTGGCACCAAGAAAAATTAAATTCACATTTTCTCTATCTTTTACGCGTAAAAAAGTAACTGTCGCATAAGCAGATTTGCTTGCGTCACAAAAAGTGTGAATCGAAAAATCCCCAGTGCCAAATTTTCTCGTTACTTCAATTTTTTCCAAATACGACAATTGTTCTTTCCAATTTAAAAAAGCCTTTTGCGTGTCCTTATCTACCGGATCGTCCCAATCAAGTTTTTGCTTCCATAAATTTTTTAACAACAGTTTTGGCAACAAAGTTACAGGCGAAGTGAAACCAATTGGATCAAAAACCTTGTGTGCGACCGATAAAATAGAGCGTTTAGTGACTACCGTGTCACCTTCATCTTTTAATAAAGCTGGGTTTACTGAAATCGTGTCGCGTATCTTATTAAACAAAAGACCAAGTACTAAAGTCGATTCTTTATCTGAGTCATCTCGTGTGTATTCCCATTCTCTCAGATCGAAACTACCGAGTGCCATCATTTCTTTAGCCGACTTTATAAAATCCTGTAATTTTTCTTTCGATTCTACACTCGTTGTGCAATTGTCCACGTAAAAGGATTTTGATAATTTTTCGATAATTTCACAAGACCATGACCCCTTACCGTCTTTTGCTGCTTGCAACAAATTCGAAAAGTGTAATTTTAAAACGGCTCCCAACAAAAACGGACTACACTTTAAACCAAATACTACACGTCTATGCCGAAAAATTTTTATTTCATCGTCAACCAACCAAAGAAAACGCAAATAGTTGCGATCCTGTTCATTTATTCCGATCTGTAAGAATGCCTTGCGAATGTCAGCCAAAACAGCTATCTCGTGTTCTTGAAATCTTAACAAAGTCGCGGGAATCAACTCAATTAAATTCGGACCTTTTTCAAGGCATTGATTCAAAGAGGGAAAACCAGCGACATTTGCCGATGCGTCAAATACTGGTCGTATTTTTGTTGTGCTTGCCTCTTTAACTACCGGGCGATGAGGTAGGTAATGACATGCGGAACCCGACTCACCAACTACAGGTTCAATAATTCCTTCGTCTTGCCATTCCTTAAATACTTGATCGTACTGAAAAAACAAATCATCTCGTTTTAATTTTGCAACAGTGTTATTCAATCTCTTTTTAGACAATTCGAAATTCTGAGAAACAGGTGCGTGATTATCGTTCCAAGGCAAATCAACCGAATATCTTTTTTCTTCTGTATAAACTACCGATTTTAAAAACTGGTTTTAACAATTTGTTCTTTTTCTATTTGACTTGTTTTTTCAATTGGATCTTTAATACCCAAAATATCAAGACTCCACAGATCAGCAATTTTTGCATCTTTTACAAACATCGACATCGCGACAGTGGCTGCATCGGATCGCTCGGCCGCCGGATTTTTACCCATGAGAACCCAACCTAATTTGGTCTCAAATGCCGCAAGACCGTTGCTCATTTCAAATTTGTTCCCCGTCATAAGTTTTCCTGCCACATCCGCACCAATCAATACATCGATAGAGTTATCTAAATTTCCATGTTCTGGTGTTAAATCGGAAAGCAAAATATTATTTCTCTCTAATTCCTCAATAAAACCCGTTTTCTTTACACTAGGAATATTTTCACAAATAGTTTGCTGATCCATAACCTCAAAATTGCATGCGTATTGATTGTCGCGATTTCTCATTCGAATTAAAAAAATGTTATGTTGCTGGCTTTCCGTATTTAAACCCCCGAACAAGGAATGAGTCACTTCTTTAGTTGCGATAGGCTTATAACCTAAAAACTTAGCTACATCAGAGCGAATATAAGATCTGTGCGAGCCACTGTCAATGACCACTCTAGCTTCCTTTTCTTTTGAGTCAGAATACAAAACAACACGTATTGTTTGCATATATACGTCAGGCGAACGAGAAAAACTAGCAAGATTCTGTTCCTTAGTCACGTTTAATGATTCTGCTTTTTTACTCGTGTTCATTGAATCCGCGCCACGAGTGTCACCTTGACAAACAAGAGCCGAGTGGTGTTTACCACACTTTGAACAATTTATTCTTACTCTACATTTTCGCGCCGCATGACCAACTTTCAAACACCTAAAACAACAATTATTTTCGCGAATCATGCTACAAATTGTGTCATACGAAAATATCTTGGCTTTCTCGCAAGCCGCGTTATCGTGAACATTATTACAAAAAATACATTTCTTACGCTTATCCTCGTTGGCAAATAAAACGCTACCTGTTGCCAATTCTGGAACTGATGTCCTGCTTCTAGACTCGTCCTTCGACGTCTTCTTTTTCCCTGATTCGACGTTAATGGCAAAACCATGCATGGCCATATTGATTCTCTCCTCACTCTCTACCTCTATCCTTAGAAATTGTAGAAGCCTCGAAAGTCGGTCCATCCTCTCTTCTCCATCAGCTGCATTTTCACTATTTGATTCACTTCGTTGCCAAGTTCGTAAAATTTCCTCAGGTAATGAGGATTCTACCAAAGGATAAAGCATCGTCGCACAATTATTCGTTGTAACGCCTAGAGTCTCCAATGCACGAATATGGGCCGAAAGCTTGTCATAAATACACGACACATCAACTTTTTTGCCATGATTGGATGCGTTATTTAAAACTAACGAAAGCAGTTCACGTGTATAAAATTCAATTAGCAAATCGTCACGACCAAACCGGCTTTTTAAACTGTCAAATGCCTTTTGATAATTTTCGGCTGTTGTCGGATAACCACTGACGATGCTCTCAGCTTTAGAACCCCTTTCCATCGATTGTTTCAAGTACTCTAATTTATCCTCATCAGTAATGGCTCTGTCCTCGTGAATTTTTCGGAAATGCGACCAAAACTGTAACCACTTTTCGACACTGCCACCAAATTTCGGAATTTCTAACGTTGGACGCTTGAACGGTTTATCGTTTCGCGGAGTCGCGTGCTCATTAAGAATCGGTGCCGCCGCCGCTGCAAAAGCAGCATTTCCCGGCACTACACTAAACAGTCTCGATCTTGCTTGTAAAAACTTGAGTTTGTATTCTTCATGAGATTCTATTTCGGCCGTTATTTCATCCTCACTCGCCTCAGACTCGAAAATCATCTCGACGTACTTATTACTTGTTGATTCGAGATCTGAATATCGCGACTCAAGTAACTGTAATGCGACGTGACGATCGGCCAACGAAATATTCGCATTCTCGCACTTCTCCTGGAAACTGTTCAAACATCTGGTAAAAAGCGTGCGTTGCACCTTACGAGCCTTTTTTGCGACGTCCATTTTTGAGGTTATACACAACCGCACGTTTCTTGTCGTATTTCTACTCTCTCCCAAATGTCCTGTCACGGTCGCCAGATGTTAAATCTAATCGTTGAGGAGAAAGTAATTATACACAACATTTAAACATAAAAACACAGATTGAATAATTTTATTAAAATTATATTATAAAAGGTACACTAATTCGAGACGTTTTTCATCGAAAACACTCGCCAACTAAAAACTGTATTCCTCCGCCAGTCCCCCCAAGACCCCAGCTCTGCCGAGCCCTCTCGCGGTACAAATCTGACATATTTCAAATATAAAATTTACACTCGCATTCCAAACAGTCATTTTTGAGAGATTAATGTGTTAAATAAGCCTACCAAATTTTATCCAAATCCATTAAAACCTGTTAAAGATATCGTGTTCACAAAAACGATCCACACACACACATACACACACACACACATACACACACACATACATACATCCGGACAATTGATCAGGATCTCATATAACATGTTTCTATATAGAGGAAAATTTGTTTTCACCATTTTTAAAAAGTTTATAAACGAAAGGACTACATAGCTTCCTCCACGAGGAAGCAAAATGACTTATTACAACAAGTTAAATCACGCCTGTTGTCATGATTGAAATATAAAAAAATTTGTGCCTTGTGTGGTAGAAAAATTGTTTGCAAAGACGGTAATTTAGAAACTTTTTTCATCACAGTAATGCAAGAAAAGCTGATCAAAACTTATGAGAATAGAAATTTATCTTTAAATAATTCAAAATTTTGTATCGAGCATGTGTGTAAATTGTCAAACAATATTATCGGAACTTATCAACGGCAATTCTATCGTTGGAATCCAATCAAATTTTTTTTGAATAAAAAAACACATTTTCTAAAAAATTATGGATGGGTTTTAAAATATTTTATTGTTAGCAAAAAATTAATTTTCTTCGATTTTCGAAAAATGGTCAAAACAATTTTTTACTGTCAAGAAATAAATATCCATGGTGGGTCGGGCAAATTGTTCACAATTTTTAAAGTTTTTTAAACAAATTTAAGAAAAATTCTTTGCTTCTTGAATTCTATAAAATAGTGTAAATTTTATTTAAAATGTTTCTGGAAATTCTCGCGACAATTTACAAAAATATATATAACGCGAACGACAATTAAAAATTTTGATTTCGGTAATTTACGGTAATTTTCGAGGTAATTTATGGAATATTTGTGCGGTAATTCTTATAAACTTTATCTAAAATTCATAAAAATATGAAAGCATAACTCATAATTAAAAATTTTAAGTTCGGTAATTTATGGAAATTTTCGCGGTAATTTACAAAAATATACATAGCGCTAACGACAATTAAAAATTTTGATTTTGGTAATTTATGGAAATTTATAGAAATTTTGGCTATAATTCATAAAAATATGTAAAGCATAAATCACAATTAAAATTTTTTATTTCGGTAATTTATGGAAATTTTCGCGGTAATTTACAAAAAAATACATAGCGCGAACGACAATTAAAAATTTTGATTTTGGTAATTTATAGAAGTTTATGCAGTAGTTTATGGAAATTTATGCGGTAAAATATGGACATTTATGTAATTATTTATTACTTGCTTAAAGTTCAATGTTTAAAACAAATTGTTTTGCTTCACTTTCTATGTGCACTTATAGACACTTGAGTGATACACGCCGCTCAATGGAGGAAAAGCTTTACCATAACAAAAAGGCTATACCATGTTGATGAGGCTATACCATGACGCACAAGAAAAACTGATTTTTTCAACAATTTATTATCGATTTTCAATCTGTTTTATATGCTTGTTATTTATATTCACTGAACTAATACTACTGCACTTCAATTGGCATAAGAAATAAATAATTATAAATTTTATTGAGAAATATTTGAAGGCGATTCAGTGATTCCCTATGCACATTTGATGCTTTTGATGTGTGAAAAACAAAAAAAAGTAATTCTGAAAGCAGTTTCCCTCTTAGTAATTCACTTAGGAGAGCTTATTGTTGCTGTTAACTAATGTTGAGTATTGGATTTGATTTTTATGTAAAAAAATGCTATTTTATAAAAGGGTATACCATGACGCAAAAACGAGGATCAAGAATTAACACCCAAAAAATTAAATAAAATAAATTTTTTTTCACAAATGCTTTGCTTTTCACAATTCTACTAACGAGGGACATTGAGTTGTGCACTACGCGGAGAATCACCCATATAAATAAATCCAAGAACATTTTAAACGAACAAAAAAAATTTCAACAAATTAATACTTTATAAAAGTGTGGTAAAGAATTCATTTGAAGCGGATTTCTATTAAATGAATGGTGATTTTTTACATACTTATTTTCAATTTGCTTTGGTTTCTTTTTAAACCTTTCTTTCTTAATGACGTCTCCTATTTTTTTTTAAATATTCAGTTGTCAACGCAGACGCAAGTTTTCAAGTGGTGGGATGTCTTCTTTCTCTAATGCAATAGCAACATCTATAATAAAATGAAAATGATAATATTAATAACAATAACAATTTATTAATATTATTATTATTATTAACAAAATTTGCTTTAAATAAAAAAATTACTTTGCTACAACTCAGAACAGAGCTCTATTTAGACAACTTAATACTGGCCTATTGAAAATCCCTGCACAAGATCTAGGACAAGAAAATGTACATGTTCAACAGCTGAACTTGTACCTGTTCTGGTGAGAACAGGTATTATTGTTCAGCTGTAAAGTCCTAAGAAAACTACTGCGCAGCCTTTAAAATTTTTAATTTTTACTAAACGAAGACATAAATGAACCTGTACAAGAATATGTACAAGAACATAGATACATTTTCTTGTATACAAATAATAAATATATTTTCTTATACAAGATCTTGTGCAAATTCTGTACAAGTTTTGGAACCAAATTCTGGTGCCGAAATTGTATAAGATCTTGTACATGTTCTCACCAGAACAGGTACAAGTTCAGCTGCTGAACATGAACATTTTCTTGTACAAGATCTTGTACAGGGATTTTCAATAGGGTGATCTTTTATCTCAAACCTGTGTCGCAACTACAAAAATTTTTATACTCGCATATATATTATTTTAAATGATAAATTAAGTTTTCAATGATTTACAAGGGGACCGTCATAACCAGGAGCGAGTTATAAAAATTAAAAAACTGATATTTAATGTATAACATATTCCGCAACAACAATGTACCTGATAAAGGCAATATTACCCAACTCTCACCAAAATAGAAGTTAAAAATACGTACTGAGTATCTCATAGGCATGTCTGTCTCTTATTAGAATCATTTCCTCTATTGAAACGCCTTCAGGTGGCCTGGCATTAGCCAAAAGCTTGTAATCACTGGGTTTCCAGTAGCCCAGAATAATGTGTCGCAATCTTTCATCGAGCTCGAGGGAATGTTGAGCTCTTTGTAGTGAAAAATTTTCAATGAAAACACCCGCAATTTTAGTCAGGATCTAAAATTTTTTTAATAACTTAAATAAAAAAAGTGGATTCTTTTTTAAGAAAACTGCTAAAATGTTAAGGGAAAATCTCTGGAACTTTTAACTATTATGTCCCTCGCGTATATTTTGTTAATTCCAATGAAATTTTACCTGGTTTTTGTTGGAAAAATCAATACTTGATACGAGCAATCATTTCCAACAGGTTTCACATTAATTTATTAAATAAATAAATAATTATTTAATTTTCAATGCACGATTTTCAACAATTTCTACTTGTCCCTAACCATACTTTGTGGTGCTTTAAACGATAAAACTTTATTATTAAAAAAAATTACCAGTTCTAAGATACGTCATTTTAAAGTGAGTCAGTATTATTACGGGATGATTTTTTTCTTACATTTGTTATATTATACAAAAATTTTTTTTTGTTATTTTATTTTTAAGAATAAAATTTAACATTAACCAAAAAAAAAATTTGTAGAATATAACACTTTCAAAATTTAAATAAGATTTTCAAATTTTGCAGTTGTTATATTTTACATCATAAAAAATAATTTTGTTATATTTTACAAAAAGAAATTAGTAAAGAAAAAATTTTTTAAGTTCACTTTTATCTATTAAGTACACTCAGTTTCAAAAGTTAAAAAGATATAATAAACATTTGAAATGAAGAGTTTAATAAATATAATCTATTTACCTTTTTGGTCAAACGGATTAAAGGTTTGAGTTAAAAGGGAGAGGGGGTTTACGTAATAATTTACAAATTTCAATACCGTGCTTCTTGTGTCAGTACAATTAAATGTTATCTTCCTAAAAAGGTAATCAAATTACATTAAATCTTATAAAAAAGAATAACGCTAAAGAATTTGTTAATTTTTATGTATAAAGGGTTAAAAAATAAAACAATTGTCTGTTAATTTTAAAAAAAGTACGATGTATAGAAAAATAACTGTTAAACAGCAGAAAATAATTCCAGCACATTATCACTTAAACTTTGCAAAATTATCAGACAATTGTAAATTAAGTTAAAATAAAAAGAAAAGAAGCTGTTGATCAACAGCAAAAAAGTTTTCCTAGTCAACACTTATTCTATATGTGATTGTCTGACATTAAAAACTAAGAGCTTGGTGTAAAGAAAATATCTGTTGAACAACAGAAAATTTGTCCTGCATTTTATTAGTTATTCTTTCTGGAATTGCCTGACACTTCCAGTTATAATATGGTGAAAAGATAAACATCTGTTGAACACCAGGAAATTAAACTTGCTCTTCATCACATATTCTTTCTGGATATGCTTCACATTTCTAGATAAAAATATGGTGAAAAGATAAACATCTGTTGAACAACAGGAAAATATTATCTGTCATCATCACTTGTTCTCTTTGACTTGATCCGAAATGCGTAGATTAAAGTATGGTAAAATGAAAAACATCTGTTGAACAACAGGAAATTTGTCTTGCACTTCATCACTTATTCTTTCTGAAATTACCTGACACTTCCAGTTATAATATGGTGAAAAGATAAAAAATC